AGCCATGGGTAGTGTTTCAGGGCAAGGAATACTGCGAAGAGATGAAATTTAGTCTAAGGAAAGAAGTGGCCTATGAGGGGGATTTGTGGCAATCCGCAGGACTAATTTGAATGTACCACCAGCTGGGGCAGATAGAGTCTAGACGGCTGGTCTACAAAAACCATCTTAAAAGAATAGCCTGGTGACATAAGAGTGAAAAGAGAAAGTTCATGGTATATGCCATTTCATCATCAAGTTATTGTTAATGCAGAATATGTTTTTAATTCTCTCAATTATACTCAAAGAGGAATTCAGATATTTTACTTCTGAGGAACTGAAGATGCAGAATATTAAGAAGTTACTCCTTGGAGACATCATACCCCACTGCTGATTAAATTCCCCCTATATGAGTGTTCCCAACCAGAACCTTACAAAGCAAAAGCTTGGGTCTTGACCCAAAGCCAACTGTGTTCGGGTTTCACCTCTACCACTTAACAGCTTGCTCACATCATGCAACTTATCCATACCTCAGTTTCCTCATCTACAGAGATTAAAAGAGGGGTTATAGGAAAAATTAAATACATAGGTGTACACTTGGCAACCTACAGTCCTCACTAAGTGTTAGATAAGTAGCCTTTGCAGTCAACATTCCCATGATCCAAGACGAACACAGCCTTCTCCTTTAAACTCCATTTGGCCATTTCATCATTTTTCATCCATTAGTCATCCTTCCTCTCCCCCCACACAAGCCTTCCCAATTCAAAACAGTCTTCCTGGGACAGGTGAGCTTTGAAATGAAAATGGGAATAAACTTGCAGATTTCTCAGCAAAGTTGCCCAAACTGCAAGGTAAGAAGTAATAGGAGGCGTGATTCCCTCACAGGAGCACCTGCTACCTGTAGCACAGTGAAAATGGTGCCCGCCTTGAGCTGATCAGCAGGTAGGCTTGGGTTCTTAATAGATTACCAGACACCTCTCCTGGAAATTCCAATTCAGGTAGTCAGAGTGGAAACCCAGGAATCTATACTTTTATTGAACATTCTAGGCATTTCTTATCTTCAGGGAAGTTTGAGACATTTTGGAGAAGGAGAGGTAGAACATAGGAAGGGGTTTTGGATGACAGAATGGGCGAAGACAAAATTAGAGGCAGACTCAAGGAAAAAATGGAAAACTCGAGCAAAGATGATCATGAGTAAATCTCTAAGAAATCAGCACTTTGGGAGGCCGAGGCGGGTGGATCACGAGGTCAAGAGATCGAGACCATCCTGGTCAACACGGTGAAACCCTGTCTCTACTAAAAATACAAAAACTTAGCTGGGCATGGTGGCGCGTGCCTGTAATCCCAGCTACTCAGGAGGCTGAGGCAGGAGAATTGCCTGAACCCTGGAGGCGGAGGTTGCGGTGAGCCGAGATCGCGCCATTGCACTCTAGCCTGGGTAACAAGAGCAAAACTCTGTCTCAAAAAAGAAATGGTCCAGTAAGAAGAACAAGTAAGAACTCAAGTGCTAAGACTATTACAGGGCCACTGTAGGGAAGTTTCTCTTTCAGGCTGAGGTTTAAAGTCAACTCTCTTAAGAGACATCCGGAAACTAGAAGTACCCTTTCGTGGACTTTATCAGGGTTCTGTGGTCACACTGTCCAAAGCCTAAGTAGCTGGGTTGCCACAGAGGCAAGCATGATGGACAAATAGAAGTTGCAAAAATAGAAACAAAAGTTGGAAGAGATTCAGTGATTCGACTCCCTTGAATCCCTTCCTTCAATCAACTTCCCTGAGTCACTCTGCCTTGTGCCGTACCACTGATTCTCAGCTGTGGCCACATAGTAGAGGCACCTACAGAACATTTTGTGAACTGCTTTCCAGACCCTGCCCCAGATAACTTAAAGCAGAATTCACAGGAACAGGTCCCATCGCTGGCACTCTTTTAACCTCTGTGAATCTAAGGAACAGCCAAGGTGAGGACCATTCAACTCAACAGGTGGTTTTCAGAGAAAGAACGTTAGCCCATCAGAATCATTTAGAAGTATTTAAAAATTGCTGATGCCTGAGACCCAGTTTCAGAGGTTGCCATTTAATTGGTCTTAAGTGTAGCTTGGTAACCAGAAATTTTTAGAAGTGCACCAATTATTGACAATGTGCAGCCATGGTTGAGAACGACTCAGGCAGACTTGCTTTATCAAACCACAACTAAGGAACAGGCCAGTTTGTGGAAAATCAGGTACATTTTGAAGTTTAAATCTGTGAGTCTGTGTTGAGAGGAAATAGCACTCTAGGATTTGCATAAAAAGACCCTGGCACCAGCCTTCCCCTGAGAGGTAGCCCCCCTGTTGAGAATACACCTTCATTGTTCTGATCTTTTAATTTTTCCTTAATTTGTTTGGATATAGCAGAGACATTTGTCTCTTTGATCATATGTCTCTGCTCATTTAGGGCAAATGGCTTAAGAGAAGGTCAGATGATCCATTTATGGGTCCTCTAAATCGATAACGTCTTAAAGTTCAAGGCGAGAGCAACAGCTATACATAAAATGACACAACACAGTGGGTATAGACACCTACATGACATCTCCCCCTAGAACTCGACCAGTATTCTTCTGTTTGGCCTGACATGTGGGCCACCCAGAGCCAATCTCTGAATTGACAGACATTTCCTGTTAATTGCACTTATCAACTGATGAAAACATAGTTCTAGGGAAGTAGTAATCACACCAACTGAATTCTTAGAATGAATGAACTCTACAGAAAGGCACCTTTCTGATCCATGAGGGTGACCTTTCTGGGATGTAATGGGATTATGTGGATTAAAAAACCCAAATAGTACAGAATGGATACATCAAAAAAACAAAACACTTAACGGGTAGCGTTAACTGCTTTCGGCATTGTCGCACAGTCCATGGCACATTCTTCTAAATATCACTATGACAGAGAGCTCTCTGTGCTTTGAGGTAGATGTCAATTCAGAGACGTGATCTAAACCAAGTTGTCAAAGGGAATAGTCCCTTTTGTTCTGAAACCTAGCGATCATAAAGAGACTGTGGGTGAAAAATTTAAAAAAATCAATACACATCGGTTGCCAAGCAAGGCAGAGAGAAAGAACGAAGGGAAAGGAAAAAAGAATGAAGGGAAAGGAAAGGAGACAAAGGAAGGAAAGGGTAGGGGAGGAAGGAAAGGAGGGAGGAAAAAGGGTAGCTTAAGTGCCTAGTATCAGAGTATTTAAGGACACCATCTTACTATCAATCCTGAAGCAATTTCAAAAACAAGGCTAGTTTCTTACAGGGCTGTTTCTATTCACACTTGTAGGTTACATTTTAAGTTCCCTACTCATTCAGTCACAGTTTTACATCGGTGTTGGGTATCTCCAAGTGGCTTTTCCTCATGTCTAGCACACTGGACACTTTTTTACGGAAAACACAGAAATGGAACACGAGGCAGCACTGGCTTTAGGATTAGGGAGTAGAAATTGGGTAGAGCTGCCCCACCCCCTGCCGTAGATGTGTGAATGCCTAGTCCAAAGAGCTTGCCCCTTCACATAAAACCAGGTCGCCATTCTTCGTTATGGCAGCCTTCTTCATTACAGAGTGGAGCACTCTGTAAATGGACATCCTTATAAGCGCTTGTTTTGTGTACCCCAGAATACCGTACCTGTAGTTAGGAATTCCCATGTCTTACTGCCCCTTGAATAAGTCAAAGGTGAGTAAGTCATACCAAATATTCAACCAAAGTATCTCCCTCGTTTTCAGGGATCTTAAATCTTATTGCTCCTCAAAAAGAGAATCTGGGGCCAGATATTCACAGGGTTTAAAAAGTCTGTCAGAGTAAAAAGACAGCAAAAAAATCTTGTAGAAGTTAACTTATATTGTCATAAGTGATAAACTTAGCTGTGGCTTGTTATGTAGGAGAAAAATACTAAAAATATTATTCTCAATGCATGTGTAATTTGTTTACATTTTATTGGTGTAAAAATGACTAGAATTTAACTGAATGCGAAATTCTAGAGAATATTCAAATGGCAGCTCTATTTATATTCCAGGGTGAACCTCTTGCAACAGTAAAACTTTATTAAGATGTTTTAAGAAATGCTCAATTACTACTTTTGAAGCATTGAAACATTTGAACCAAACCAGTCACACTAAGAAAAAAAAAAAAAAAAAAAAAACGCGTTTATCTTGGTTCTTGCTGATCCAGAGGCATGGTAAAAATCTAACCAATGAAAACTCAGAGCCCCTGTACTGCTGCTATTGAGGCATTTAAGAACCTAAGCAGTCTCAGTGGGCCATTCTTATAGTGTGCCTGACACAGACAATCTTATTTCCAGAGGAGTAAGTAGTACTGAATTAGAACACAGTACATTGTGGAAACGTCTCAGGTGGAAACATCTTAAGAGAGTTTTATCATCTTTCTGGATTTACTGAATCAAAGTAAAATAGCATTTTCTATTTTCATTATTTTTAATCATTAAAAATAATTGGGACAGCTAGGGTTTATTTCAGCTGATGACTTCTTAGCTTTATGTAGCAAGCCTAGTTCGAAGAGGAATTATCTGCAACACATCACCACATAAAACTGTCTTCTGAAATGACAGCGCTTTTTCTTAATTTTTGTTGATATTGTAAGCCTGGAATTTTAGAATTTTCCTAGCTAGCTGCAGTGTACTCTATTTCTTAATCAGTAGTCTGTTTACAGAGTAATCTCTTTAGCATAGAAATTCATACAAGCACAGTTTCAAATGCTTTAGCCTTAGAAACATATCCTGGCATGTTTTGGTAACACACAGTATTAATATTTGGTGCCACAGCTTGTACATGTCCCATATTCTGACACTATCATGACTCTAAGAGGTCCCTGCATGCGTATTTCATGATCTTTCTAAACTCTCCAAGTCTGAGGTACATCAGCACATTTGCTTTCAACATCCATTCACACGCAGCACCCTTCCCTCCCCTCATCTGTACACATCGAACCAATTGGCAGAGAGCACATTTCCCCCTGAGCGAGCAGTATTGTGAATTTTATCTTCTCTTCCAGAAATCAGTTCGTCTTCGTTGCAGCAGATGAAATTTCTTGTAACACCTCTGCAGGTAACGAACATTGCTACTTCTTGATGCACCCATCCAAGTCTCAGTATCCTTTTTTTTTTTCTTCTTCTTCTTCACATGCTGCAGTTGGTCACTCTAGAAAGTTTAGTTAAAAAAAGAGCTTGTATCTTTGGAGAACAGCTGAAGCCTTGAGGCTCTGCCATATAAGACGACATTAGGCATTTTGCTAACTTTGATGTTTTATTTCTGGTTTTAGTAATACGTAGTCCAGAAAAGTAAAAATATGTTGAATGAATCCACAAGGAAGTCTCCCGGTATATTCAGTGTTCTTATGATAAAAGAAGGAACAGGGAGATTAGGTACACAGACTTGTGACTTCCATGTTTTTTGACGTATTATGTCTGGGTTCATAGAGATTGGTATGTGAATTATTTGGGATCTTTATGGAATATTAGAGGCATTCGGGAGTATAATTATCTCTGTCTTATAAGAAGGGGATCTTCATTCTGTCAGCCAAAGATCCTCCATTTCCTTCCTTATAAAACGTCTCTCAAGTAGCAGAACTTAGAGAGACCAAGTCTTTTGGTTTTGAAACAGGAAATTGGCAAACGGAAATTGCATCGTTGCATGGTATGTCCGTCACAATAACACCTGTCTTTTTTCTTCGATGTGGTTCAGAGCAGTTCGCTTTGTACTTTCATTAGTGTGGAATTAAATGCCAAGATAGGTGAGTGCCTTAACACTAGATTTTTTTTTTCCCTTTTGTCCTCGTTTTGTTTTTAAGCCTAAACTATGACCAAAACAATCACTAGAAAATCTTGCCAATGTGTTGCTTTCAGCCTTCGAGGGAGGACGTTACAGCTAACCCTGCATAGCTGAGCATGCCATGACCTTCAGACACACACGTTAAACTGAACCTTACAGATAAAGCACTCATCTGTTACCTTTTATCAATGGTGCCGGAAAAAGGCTTCTTTGCCAATGCTTCACTATTTACTGCCTTTAGTGAGAACGAATGAAAGGAAGCCCAGGGAGCTAGGAACATGCACCCAGCCCTCCGTTCTAGAAGGCAGGGTCAGTTTTATTTATGTAGTCGCCCTCAGCCTTTACAATGCTTTAATGTCTTACCTGGTGAGTTCAAGAGGTATGCATGATGCATGCTGACATTTTAAAGCAATGGCATACTGTATTTATATGAAACCCCTTTGATGATGGTGCTGAATTTCCCCCTTAACCCCAGACTCAAATATCTTTGCTTCTCACTGTGAGACGTGGCAACATCCTTAACACTTTACTAATGCCCAGTGCTAGATGTGATGGTTAATTGCACTGCTGGGAGTGGTGGGACATCCGTTCCTGCAATACAAGAGTTGTTAAACATTTTCAGAGCCTTAGTGGAATGGAGCATGCAACAAAAGTGGGGACCTCTTGGAATGGGAGGTAGGGGTGGGAAATAATGTTCATTTAAAATGTTCATAGGCAGGCCGGCCATGCACGGTGGCTCACGCCTGTAATCCCAGCACTTTGGGAGGCTGAGGTGGGCAGATCATACGGTCAGGATGATCGAGACTATCCTGGGTAACACCGTGAAACCCCATCTCTGCTAAAAATACAAAAAATTAGCTGGACATGGCGGCACGTGCCTGAAGTCCCAGCTACTCGGAAGGCAGAGGCAGGAGAATCACTTGAACCTGGAGGCAGAGGATACAGTCAGTCAGGATCCTGCCACTGCACTCCAGCCTGGGTGACAGAGCGAGACTCTGTCTCAAAAAATAAAGTAAAATAAAAACAATAAAATACATGTTCATAGGCATCCTACAAGGATGCCCCAGTGCACTAGAGCTTCTACCTTCTGTCAACCCTGCACATGTTCCAATATGCGTTAGGTTGTATTTGGACATCATAGATCAAACATGGAAAGGTTAGATATTGATTTTGCCCCATGACTTCACCAACCCTGCCTTGTAAGCAAGTGATCCGCACACACTATTTCTTAAGAAGTCGACAGAACATGAAAGTTTGCATGAGTGTGGCGAGTGTTTCCATCTGCCTAATCAAGAGGGCTGCTCTGTAAATTCTTAATGAATTGCTATTGATCGCATTTCAAATTGGGAGAGATATCCCTGTTCCTTTGATGGTCATATTAATATGTTGTGTGCTTCATAAGGTTCCATTTGAACTCTGAATTTTGAATGAAGCATGAAAAAGGAGACACCTATACCAATCCAATGTCAGATTATCTCCCAGCAAGTCCACCCTCCTCAAAGAGTGAAAATGAAAAATCAAAACTGCTCAGTCAACAAAGGTTGTAACTCAGGGTTTCAATGAAAGCCTCCTGGGGCATCATCTCGTATATGCTGAAAACACCTGCTGTACCCACTACCCACATTCTAAATAGCACGAGTGTAATGAGTTCTCACCTCCTTATAAAAACATTTACTAGGGCAGATTTATTGAATCCTGCTATCTACTAGATAATCTGAGTTTGACAAAAGGCAAGTTCTCTATTTTTAGCTGGAGAAAAAAAAAATCAACAGGCTTAAAATTTCAGTGTCTGGGGCTTGTTAGAACTGAAATTCTTATAAAGAGGTGTTATTGTCACATTGATACCCATGGTGGATGGGCTAAGCATAGGCAGTTCTGTCTGGGGCTTAGGGTAGAGACAGATAAAAATCACTAAGCAGTAGAACAGCAGCATTTCAGGATTTTTCTTTGTCTCCCAAAGAAAAGTGATACCTTTTACTCGGGTCTTTTGTCGGGAATGCCAACATATCTGGTCTGCTTTTCCTAGCCACATACAATCTGCATTTTCATTAGCATTTGTGGTCTAAGAGACTGTAATTACAAGGATATTTTCTTAGCCAGAGGTTTTGACAATGGTATTAGCGATGTTTTCATTGCTCCCAAAGTGTGCTCTGTTGGGTATCACTTGGGACTAGGCTTTCAACAACAGGAAAGAACGCCTCCTAATGCATCCAGCTCGCGCACTTGACTAGTTTTTCATTCAGTAACACCAAGAACCTTTGATGAGTTGGATTCTGCAACAGATGGCAAAAAGTGGGGGAAATAATTTTCCCTTCTTAGAACGAAGGTCACCTCTGTGATTCATTAGGACTTTTCCAAGGTGGGCTAGTGATTGTAGCAGTTGTAGAAAAAAGGTCTGGTATGAGAACGGAGGCTGAAAAGCAAGTTATTTTGATGAGCAACTAGAAATTCATATCAGCCGATTAATATCTCTTGAGTCCTTGCTGGGTGTCAAGAACCATTCCAAGCCCTGGGCTCATAGCATTAAATAAGTCAGGAGCAGCCCTCATCCAAAGACCTTCATTGTATTGGAGAACAGATCCCAAACCATGTATATGAGCAAGTAAATAGATCACACAGTTAGTTATGAAAGAATTATAAAGAATCAAAAAGAAGGGGAGGTGATGTAAAGTAAGGCGCGATGCCACTGTAGACTCAGTGATCAGAGAAGGCCTCTCTGAGGAGGTAACACTTAAGCAGGGATCTGAAAGTGAAGGTGTGACCCAGGAAACATGCGGCGGGTGCAGAGACTCTGTGGTTGAGGCGCACTTGAGGTGACCAGGAGTCAGACATCCAGGTTGGCCCACGGATATGAGTACAGGTGAGTGTTTTACAGATAACATCTAGGGAGGTTAGCCAGGGGTCAGAGCAAGTTAGGGCTTGGAGGCCACAGCAAATGTTTGGGATTTTAAGAGTGATGGGGAGGCACTGGAGGGAGCGTTATAATCTGACTTTAGTGGTAAGATAGACTGCTTTGTGGAGACCAAACTGCAATATGGAAAGAGCAGAAGAAACAGCACCAAAGGGCGATGGTGGGGGGCTGGGTGGGGGCTTGGAGCCTTTCAGAGAGTGCTGACAATGGCTTGGGTTAGGAGTGTGGTTGTGGGTGAGCAGTGGTCATCTGTAAGCTGTGTTTTGATGGGAGAACAAACAGGACATATTGGCAGATTAGAAGGGTACAAGGTCCACTCTGTCAAATGTCTACTCCCTGTTCTTGTTCTAAGGGTCTATCAATTAATTCCATGGAGCAGCAAGCCCTTTATTTTCTGACGTAATTGTTCCTTGTAGGGGCTTTGCTGAATTCTCCAGGGCTTAATAGTAACTGTCATTTACAGAGCAAACTCTGTGTGCTAGTACGGTAAATACACATACAGACATGTCTATGTGTAATGCATATACACACAATGCACACACGTGTGTATACATATGTTTATGTATGTATTTGTGTGCATACACATACATGCATGGCAGCTCAATGAGGTAGATGATGTCCCTGCATTGGAGAGTAAAAATAAATACACTCAGATCCAGCGTGCTCTCAGTCACACTGGAGTCCATTCCATGCCAGAGTCCTTCCCTTTGGGTCATACTGCCTCCACTCACTACATGTCCATCCTTGGAACTTTGACCTTCTGCCGTCAGATGGAATTCTCCTACCTTCACCAGCTATGCACTCTTGCTCCTACAAAACTAGTATTTGCGAGTTGGATGACCAAGTTGTTAATGTTTGGAAGGGACCAAAGGACACTGAACGGTTCTCTAGCAGTTGTTCCACTGCAAGTTTATTCAGCTTCGCCTGTCCCCTTCAGGCGGCAGGCTTCTTTAGTTCTGTGTGCTGAGAGTACTGGTGTAGATATGGGGATAGAGGCAGCAGATGTCTGATCACGAAGCACCTTGTGTATTAAGGAAGACAGAGGGTTAAACAGGCCAAGTGTGTTCTAGGTTACTTCATCAGACATCTTTTTTTGCTGAAAGTTTGTGGCTGAAAATCAATTAACAATATCCTGCTCCCTGAAAATTACCAGACAGGTTGAAAGTTGTTTTAGCCACAGAGTCCAAGTGGAAAGCTCCCAGCTATTCCCTCACTTTCCAGGGTAGGTGTGTGTGTGTATGGGGGTGTAGGTGGAGGCTGGGTTGCATTAACAGAAACATATGTCCCCTCCATCATGCCAGGACCCCCCATGAGGAGCAAATCTGAGGACACATTTTCATCTCAGTTTCTGATGAGTACGGGACAT